ATGGTATTTTGTTAGAGCAGCCCAAACAGACTAAGACACTCATCCTAGGCTGTCTGATTTTCTACCTATCAAAAGAGAGTAAGAGGCCAGGGGGACCAATGAACACCCCTCAGACCCTGCCTCACCTGGCCAGCCACACCATGGCTCATTCCTTAAGGACTCCATGACCACACCAGCCATAGGAACAGGGTCTATTTTAGGAATTTCAAAGGCCTAGGGCTTTCCTACTTTTGGAGTTCTCATCCCATATTAAATCAAAATTTTAAAATTTGCCAGTGCACCAAAATCAAATGCTTGCTTTACCCATGAGCTGCAGGCTAGAAAACCATATGGTCACTCATGAGTTTCCAGTTATGGCAAAATGTCCAGCTCCTTTATCGGGATGGGATTTCCTAGGCACCCTTGGAACCATCTTACATTTATGAGGCCCTGGGGAGCCTTTTTGGCAATGATTGTTATTTCTAAGCCCACCTGAGAAAAGCAGGAAATCCACCCCCTCAAAATAAGATCTTGAGAAGCCTCACAAGTATGGGATCAAAAAACCCCTAGGAAAACAACACATGGTCAGCCCCTCTTTAAAAGACAAAAATAATTTCCCATAGAAGCATCAATATCCCCTCAAACCAAAAGCCAGGCGAAGACAGGCTCCAATGGAGAAGTTTTTAAAACATGGCCTTCTGGTTCCATGTCAGTCTCCTTGCAATATTCCTGTTCTCCCTGTCCAGAAACCAAAGAATATCACCTAGTTCAAGACTTATGAACCATTAATGAGGCCATAATTCCCTTGCATCCTATAGTGCCTAATATTTAAAATTACCCAAATACTGGGAGACACCAAGACAATATTAGATCTTAAAGATGCTTTCTTTTGTATCCCTTTGCACCCCAACTCTCAGTATTTTCTCAATTGTTTGCTTTTGAGTGGCCCTATTCTGAAACTACTCTTGCCCAGCAGGGCTTTAGGGATACCCCTCATTTGTTCTGAAACATCTTGGCATGAGAATTTGGGGAGCTAGAGTTAGACAGGGGAGCCAATACTCCAACATGTGGATGATACTGTATGCAGTTCCACTAAAGAGGACTCAGTAAGAATGCCATTCAAGTCTTAGACTTTCCAAAAAAAAAAAAAAAGTCTTAGACTTCCTGGGAGAAAGGGTATAGGATCTCTCCATCTAAGGCCCAGACTTCAAAACCAGAGGTAAAATATCTCAGGTACATCCTAAGCCCAGAAAATCAGACTTTGCCCATCAAACCTAAGGAGGTTGTCTAAAAGGTGACATCTCCACAGAGAAACAATTGAGAGCCTTCCTGGTATGACAGGATTTTGCAGGATTTGACTCCTGGGATTTGAGTTAATTTCTAAGTTACTGTATAAAGCTCCGACAGGGCCAGAGCATGAACCTCTCAGAGGGGTTTGCATAGTAATAAACCACACCTGTTCTTACATTAACAATTCAGGTTTAATTGAACTGCAAGTTCAAAAGACTTACTAACAGGCTACCTGGCTACATCATCTTAATAACTACACCGCTCAAGCCATCTGGATTTCATCAAAGGATACCTACCAACTGCAACATGGTTCCCACCTTTCCTAGGACCGTTAATAGCTATCGTATTACGGCTACTCTTTGGTCCTTGTTTTTTAACCTCCTTGCAAAGTTTCTGTCTTCCAGGTTGCAACAGTTTCATGTCAAAATTATGGTTATGTTAGGATTCCAGCCAGTCCCTGCCTTGGATTCAGACTGATGACACACCCTTGGGACCCTAGACAGGCAGTCACAGATTTCCATGTCCTCACTAGGCAGGGTCAATGCCCCTGATCAACAGGAAGTCGATTCAGAAGACTAACCTCTTCCTTCATCAATTCCTAAGAATAAGATACGGAAATCTCTGGACATGGGGAGGGAGAATGAGACAGAAATAATACAGGGTGGTCACAGGAGAATAAAAAATTCCAGGAAGCAGTTTCATATGACTAAAGGCTATGGGCTGATAAGACCCTGAAAACCAGGGTGTGGACCAAGCTGACTAAGAGCAACTGGACCCAACATGGTGCTGAATTTGATCCAGATTTCACCTAGGACCTTTTTATACGCTCATTAACACACTAAATCCTACACATTAGCGCCATGACAGTTCCAGGAACACCCGTATTTGGCGTAAAAAGGGTGGCACCACAGTTCCAACAAGTCCTCATCCTCTTCCAGGAATTTTCATGACTATTCCACCCCTTGGTTAAAAATAAATAAATAAAGATAGAAACCCCAAACCTCATTGCAAGACTCTGTCTGCAGTACCTCCACACTCCATTTCTGAGTGTGTACTTTTTGCTACTCAAAAAATCTCTATACTCTAATAAAATAAAATAAGTAAAATTTTCCAGCATGTCACATTAAATATAATTTATACGTGGCTACATAAGAATTAGAAGCAGGTAACTAGTTGATATCGTTCTGTAGACATTTAACTGGATGTTCATTTATTTTTGTTTTCTTTTGTTTTCCTTTGATTTGAGATCAGTGCATTTCTTTTGGGTTTTCAAACATTCCCATTGTCCCCTGTAAAGCTGGTACACCTAAGGAGTTGATTCTCTTGCGCTTAATGGACACAGTGGCCTTCCACAGAGGAACACAAGAAGGGCAACTCTGAGCCAAATCCATGGTACATCAAACTCAAGACACTTTTACCAACCATGGCCCAAAATGGTTGAAGAGAGGAGGAACCCAGAGTCCCAACACCATCAGTCACTTTCACTTGTATTAGTCATTCCATTTCACACCCACTTTTTGAGCTTGAAATTAGTGTCCTCATTTTGCAAACAGGGAAAATAACTATAAAAGGTCTCAGCGACTGGCCCAAAGTCCCATCTCTAGAAAGTGGGCTTTTGAACCCAGGTCTCATGGCTCTGAATTCCACCATCTTCAGCTTAGTCATGACTCCTGCAGGTACAGCAGAAAGTCATAGCTGTCTTTCCTGACATTTAGAGTTCGAGAAACTTTGGCCAGTTGCAACGATTACTTAATGTTCTGCCACTCTTAGGTTTCTATCATTTAGGAGATAGTCATTCTTTTTTTGTCTGTATCTTCTTGTCCAAAATGGCCCTTGCTCAAGCTGTGAAAGGTATTCCCATGTAAATCCTGTTTGTTTTGCTTTGTTTTGTTTTTTTTCTGAAGAGCTACTTTCTGTGTTCCTTTTCAGCCTTGCCTATTTATCATGAGCAATCTCTCCTTTTCATGCCTAGATCACAGGCTACCTGTAGAATTCACTTGACACTTGGCACCCAGTGTCTCCGTTTCATTCCTGCTGATCTGCTCTCTCTCAAACAGCACTCTGGGATCCTCCAGGCAAACACTGGATCTCATGCTTCTGGCTGTCTCCCTTCACATTGTGATTTAATAGTAAATGGGTTCTGGTTTCCGAAGTCCCTTCTGAGGCTAGCCAGTTATGTGATCTTGGGCAAGTCATCTAACACTTCAGTCTCTTTATTCACGAAATGGAAACAATAGTTGTCCTGCTTCCCTCAGAGGATTATTACAGAGATGAGAAAGCAAGTCAATGTCTATGTAAGTGCTTTGCAATCTAGAAATAGTATGCAATTATACAGAGCTGTTAGCCGAAAGTATTGCTGAGTGATATTGGGAGGAGTAGGTCGCTGAAGTCTCTTGTCAAACAAAAGAGTTTATGAACTATGATGTGGACCACTACTGCACTAGGCTTCCCAAGATCACAGCAGGTGCGTGAACTAATGGATGGGATCTGATGTGACAGCTGATTTGGCAGTCAGCCTTCTAGGAAACCAAGAAAAAATTACCAGGCAGTGACAGTCTTGTGAGCCAGCAGATCTCCTGGACCCTTCAAAAACTCAACCCCCGACTGGTACCATTGGATCACTGGAGACCTAGAATACACCAAGAGCTATTGCCAACACTCAAATATGCACATAGTCTCAGCACTTACCTTAACAAAACATCACAGGTGCAAGCACAGACGCCTATACACAGAGAAGGCACTCTGCCAAACCTTTTCTTAAAGTCCCAAATTGTCAGTGGGGAGACGCTGTGAGAGTAAAATGGATTAAAGCACAATGAATAGTTCTGGAGGAAGCCGAGGCTGGGGAGAGACTGAGAGGGAAGGAGGCTCCTAGCTCAGGATGAGGGGTAGGAAGGGAAAAAGTAGATGCTTCAACTAGAAATCTGGGCTTCACAATTCACTGGGGAAATGCTTGCTATGGAAAAGGAATCTCTTCCATGGTATAGCTCAAAATAGAAGCAAAACCACCACCTGTAATAAATTGCAAGCAAAGAAAGACATCTGGGCCATCAAGACCTAATACCACCAAGGCTAGCCTACCACTCCAAGTCTAAAACCTATCTCCCTGTCCCCTAGTCTAATACCCACTATGGCCAGCAGGCCTCTTTATTCTCTCAGCTCTTTCCAAAGCCCCTAGCTTTTGTTCACAACAGTCCATCTTTCCTAGAATGGCCTCCCTTGGTATATCCCACTCAAAGCCAGTATGACTGCACATGACAGCTGGGCAAGTCTCTCTTCCTGCACAAAGCCTACTCCATCCACCCCAGCATCTTGGAATGCCCCCACTCCACCGAGATCACAGAAGACTTGGTGCATGCATCTCCTGCAGAGCAAGCTTTTCTAGCAACACAAGTGAGCAAATGTGCATGTGTTTCTAGTTTGAGTTCCCCAAAAATCACAGCCTGAGTCAAGGACTTGAGTGCAGGTTATTTGGAACATGATTCCAGAAAGCAGAAGAGTATATAATGTGAGACATGGAAGAAGGAATCAACCAAGGATGCATTACTAACAGCCTACGCCGTGAGCAACTGGGCCTCAACTCCATTGGAATCCTCTGCAGAACCACACAGAGCATGCCTGGGAATTGTCCTAACTGAAGACGGGCCGCTGGAGCCCGTGGCCATGGTCTTGCCTTTATTGTTAGGATTGCTTTTGGAGGCTCTATCTTGCCCCTCTTTTTGTGCTTTCAGGTCACAACTCACACAATGGAGTGTGTCACCTCCTTGAGCTTCGGAGAAAGCCCTGAGGCTGCAAATCCACAGGAATCAGTGTGATACACAGTAAGTCACCCCAAGATCTGCTGCGGTGAGCATGCACATGCTTTCTTTTAGCAAATAGATCGTAAGCTCCTGGAGTGCAAAGATCATCAAAGAAGAAAGAAAACCAGGCAGATGGCTTCAACTCTAGACTGACAGCATTTTGGCTAAAACCTTGAGACAGTCTGTTCTTGGTTATTTTCAACTGATGGCATTTTATCAGCCCCTGTCCCCTACGTTCTCACTGAGAAACAAAACCATAGCATTATATGGCAAAATGGCAGCATTAAACGGCAAAATCATAGTATCATATGGCAAAACCATAGCATCACATGGCAAAGTGGCAGCATTAAATGGCAAAATCATAGTATCATATGGCAAAACCATAGCATTATATGGCAAAACCATAGCATCACATGGCAAAGTGGCAGCATTAAATGGCAAAATCATAGTATCATATGGCAAAACCATAGCATTATATGGCAAAATCATAGTATCACATGGCAAAGTGGCAGCATTAAATGGCAAAATCATAGTATCATATGGCAAAACCATAGCATTATATGGCAAAACCATAGCATCACATGGCAAAGTGGCAGCATTAAATGGCAAAACCATAGCATCACATGGCAAAGTGGCAGCATTAAATGGCAAAATCATAGTATCATATGGCAAAACCATAGCATTATATGGCAAAACCATAGCATCACATGGCAAAGTGGCAGCATTATATGGCAAAATCATAGTATCATATGGCAAAACCATAGCATTATATGGCAAAACCATAGCATCACATGGCAAAGTGGCAGCATTATATGGCAAAATCATAGTATCATATGGCAAAACCATAGCATTATATGGCAAAATCGCAGCATTATATGGCAAAATTGTATAAGGAAATAATACAGGGAAAGCTGTGCCCTCATTAACTGTAGCAGTAACTATGTCTATCACCATCTTTAATTCAGAAGAAAAGTGAGAGAGATCTCACCTTTTTCCATTAGATCCTTTGCTGGCCCCCATCTTGCCTGTCCTTCAAGAAGCAGGGTCAGACCCAAATAACCAGACTGGCCCTGGGGGAGTCAGGTCATTTAACCTCTCTGAGCCTCAATGTCCCCATGTGTAAAGCAGACAATACTGTGCTGACACCACAGGGATAATGGGAACATCACATTCGCTAATATTTAACAAGACTTTGTAAACTGTAAACGGGCATTCAAATATCAGCTATTATGATAGCATGTTTGGGTCCCACATACTTCGCCCTGCAGCAATCTCTGCTGTGCCAGCTGGACAGGATCTTACTTCCTTCTCTGAAAAATCCAGCTCAAGTTTTACACGACCTAAGGGTATCTGTCCCAGGCTACACAGGTTATTATTTATATAGGCTCTTTGTGTGTTTTTCAGTGTCCCCCATTGACCACAGAACCTTGTGCTTCGCTTTTTTTTTTTTTTTCAGCTGAATTTTAGACTCACAGTTTCTTTTAAAATCCCTAAAAATGGTTCTCAGCTTCCCCTGGAGAAAGTACTGGCACCTCAGCATAACCTCAGGGCCCTTCCCAGGTAGAGACCTGGCTACCCCGGTGCAGGCCAGACTACTCTCCCCGCCTACACTCTTGCCTCCTCACACTGCTCCTGTGCCTCCGACACCCTGTCTTTCCAAGCTGCTACACCTCCTCCTTGACTTTCTCCAGCCAACTCACACTCATCATTCTTGAGTTAGTTTCACCCCATTCTTCCATAAAACCCTTGTTAGGCCTCTTCACCCATGTATTCCAAAAGTTTTTGTTTGTTTGTTTGTTTGTTTTAAATGTTTGTTTCAGAGACAGGGTAGCACTCTGTCATCCAGGCTGGAATGCAGTGGCACTATCTTAGCTCACTGTAGCCTCGACCTCCTGGGCTCACACAATCCTCTCACATCAGCCTCCTCAGTAGCTAGGACTACAGGCATGCATCACCGTGCCTGGCTAATGATTGCTTTTATTTTTGTAGAGACAGGATCTCACTGCATTGCCCACGCTGGTCTCAGACTGCTGGCTTCAAGCCATCCTTCTGCCTCAGCCTCCCAAAATGCTGGAATTACAGATATAAGCCACTGTGCCTGGTCAATATTTTTTTTGAGTACCTAGTATGTGCCAGTGCTGTGCAAGGTGCCAGGAGCACCACGGTGAACCTATCACTCTTAATCCCTTTCCTCACAGATTTAGAGACCTTACTCATAATACCGGTCTGTGACTTAGACAATGCGCCTGTGAGTTTTTCCTTTATGGCTATTTTATGCATGTACTTTGCATCTACCCCGCTTGAAAGCTAGATTTTTGAAGAGGGCTCCTTTGCACCTTCCTGCTCACAAGCAAAACAACATGCAGCATATGTGAAAAAAAAAAAGCAGGACCCCCACTGTTAGTCATAGGGCAAAGAAATACATGGAGAAAGCTATGATAAATTTGCAACACAATGATCAATTAAAAACATTTAAAATGGAGGAGAATGCCTTGACACACACATGACTGAACCAAATACAAAAAGGTTTAGTTCTAGGCCCCTAGACAAACACAAGTTAATGCAATTTCCTTTACAGTCCTGCCACTGGCGGGGAAATCTGTTAAAATAAGAATCCAGAAGCTGAGACGGATGGGAGGTTCCAGCTTGAGCGGCCAGAGATGACGGGTGTGGCTCACGTATTAATGAAAATCAGATGCCACCTTGTGGCCAGAAATCAAAACTTAGGGATTTCGCTGGGGAAAAGATTTGCGTGCTGTGAGAATCAAATAGAAAATTGCATTCCACAGGGAACACAGCTTATCCTGGTAAGGATGCTGTATGCTCACATTTACCCTCAAAAAACTTCTTTGCTGTAATCTATGACCTCCTTATAGCCATAATCTTTAAGTCGAACACGTACTATACTTTTTAAAAAGCCTCCAGAAGCCCCTGCTCTAATTGATAGGATTGGCTATCACCTCAGCTATAATCCAGTGTTGATTCTCCCAACAAACTCTCAGGGAAATGTTGACCTCTGAAAGAGTAAAGATGACATCACAGATATTTTCAGAGAAATTGGGTGAAACATAATTTTCTTTCAGGAGCAAATAAACTTTCAGTGACAAGGGAATGAATATTTTGCAAAAAGGAGGCTGTATGAAATCATTTTTAACCAATATTTTATAGGCATATATAAGTGACTAATTTTGACAGTAGTAGAAAGTTTAGGATTTCTCACAAACTAAGAGCTACTGAATAGAAAAGGTCAAAATAAACATAATCATGTCTTATTGCAGATAACTTTTTGTTTTTTTCTAAGACAGAGTCTCGCTCTGTTGCCCAGGCTGGAGTGCACTGGCACAATCTCGGCTCAATGCAACCTCCACCTCCCGCGTTCAAGCGATTCTCCTGCCTCAGCCTCCTGAGTACCTGGGATTATAGGTGTGCACCACCACGGCCGGCTAATTTTTGTATTTTTAGTAGAGATGGGGTTTCACCACATTGGTCAGACTGGTCTCAAACTCCTGACCCTGTAATGCGCCCACCTCATCCTCCCAAAGGGCTGGGATTATAGGCATGAGCCACCACACCTGGCCAGATATCTAAACTTTTTTAAAACTACAGACCAATACTCTCATGAACACAGATGCAAAAATCCTCAACAAAATAATAACAAATCAAATCCAATAACATAAAAAGAATATGCACCATAAACAAATGGGATTTATCCCAGACGTGCGAGGCTGGCCCAACATTCACAGATTAGTTAATGTAATCCAGCACATTAAAGGCTAAAGAAGAAAAATCACATAATCATATCAATAGATACCGAAACAGCATTCAACAAAATTATACCCATTCAAGATCAACATTCTCAATAAACTAATAGAGGAAAACTTCCTCAGCTTGATAAAGAAAATCAACAACAACAAAAAAACCTACAGCTAACATCATGTTTCATGCTGAGAAACTAGGAGCTTTCCAAATAAAATCAGGAACAAGGCAAGGCTGTCCCCTCCCACCACTCCTTTCAACACTGTGCTGGAAGTCCTAGTGAATGCAATAAGACAAGCAAGACAAGAAAACTAAAAGCTAGACGATTGGACAGGAAGAAATAAAACTGTCTCTGTTCACAGATGACATAATCGTTGATGTAGAAAATCTCAAAAAATCAACAAAAAAACACCCTGGAATAAATGAGTTATTATAGCAAGGTTGCAGGACAGAAGGTTAATATATGAAAGTCGAGCATATTCCTGTATAGCAGCAATAAACAAATAAAATATAAAATTAAAAACACAAAACCATTACATTAGCACCTGCCAAAATGAAATACTTAGGCAGAAACCAGACCAAACACAATACAAAATCTAAATGAGAACTACAAAACTCTGATGAAAGAAATTTTAAAAGAACTGTATAAATGAAGAGATCTTATTTCGTGTTCATAATGTACAGGAATGTTTCATAATGTCAAGATGTTAGTTCTCCCCAAATGGATCTATACATTTAACACAATTCCAATAAAAATCTCAGCCAATTACTTTGTGGATGTCAAAAAACTGATTCTAAAGTTTATGTGGAGAGAATAAAGATGCAGAATAGGCAACTCAATACTAAAATACTGAAGGAAAAGAACAAGGACTGACATGACCTGAATTCTAGTGTTACTAATAAGCTACACTCAATCGAGACAGTAAAAGCACTCTTTCACCAAGTGGTATTGGGGAAAGAATAAACAGATAGATCAAGGCAACAGAATAGAGCCCAGAAGCAGATCTGCGTAACTACAGGAGACCTTGCCTTACTGCACTTCACCTGACTGTGCTTTGCAGAGGTCGTTTTACCCTTGAAGGTTGTGGCAACCCTGCACGAAGCAAATCTATCAGGGTCATTTTTCCAACAGTATGGGCTCCCTTTATGTCTCTATGTCACATTTTGGTAATTCTCACAATATTTCAAACTTTTTCATTATTATTATATCTGTTATGGCGAGCTGTGATCAGCGATCTTTGGCATTACTATTGTAATTA